TTGAGGGAAAACAAAATACAGGTCCTAGTTTTAAAAATCTCTGTTAGCCTTGTTTTTTTTACAGGTTTTGTGCAAATAAAAATTCTAATTGGGGCCGACAATAGCATGCATGGAATACACCTACAAAAGGCACACTTGTCAAGCCCCTTTTAGATTTCTTCAGAAATGTTCTTGTTCTTTCTACATATTGTTCAAAACAGAAGAAATAGAAATGTCACAAAAATCCTGTTTTTAATCAACTTTTTTTTTTAAGTTTTAACAAGTCAATGCCAACTTGAAGTTTCAGAACTGGATTTCTTCGCTATGTGACCTAAACTTTTCACTAATCAGCCATTTATGGTTCGGTGAACATTCTCGGAAAGGCAACTACATTTCTGAACGAGTTCTCACACGTTCTCAATGTCTCTTATTTCCAAATACACAACAGACGGCCTCATAGGAACCGAGACAACAGCAACATGCTGTCAGTATGCTTATATTTAGTTAGGAAAGCATCTGTAGTCTGACCTTAAAAGCATGATATTCTGAATATATACAGTTATATGATTAACCAATCTCCCTACATAAAATCAATTGTAAAGCTGACAGTGGTTCCTTCTCTGTGCACACAGCAGTGTGTATTCAGCAGTGACCAGCTCCTCGATCATGGTCTGACCAGACCAGAAAAACAAAGGACAGTAACACAAAATGAAAAGCTTCTTGATGATGTTCATACGGAGTGGCAGAAATGACTAATAAGAATTACAACATTTAAAAGGAAGTCAAAAGGCAGAAATAGAACAGCCCTTCCGCTAAGCTGAGTGAATAAATAACTAAAATTACAATTAGATACGACCTCAGCTGAATTATCAGTGAGTCATATCAGAACAGAAGGAAGTAAGTTCTCAATAGGTGTCACTTTAGCAAACTGCTTTATGAAACAGGATGATCAGGGGAAGTGAGATATGCGTTCTTTTAAAAGGGGAAGAAGGTATTATGTATCTACCAAGCACATAATACCATTTTCTAGCAATCAAGTAACTATGTTACCTTCAGTTGTTAATATCAAAGATAATACATTTGACTTTGCATATGCAACATCTGACACCTTGAAACTGGGCTCTCTCTCTCTCACACCTGTTCAACAATGCTTCTCTAGCTGTTCATTACAGCTGTTATTAGGAGAGCTGCAGTTTTGTGATAAGCTCAGCAGAGGCCCAGTTCACTCTAGGTGTTTGCTAATTGCTGCTGCTAGTCTGGAGGAGCTGTGTTACTGAGGAAGGGTGCTTTGTGAAGCACACTACAAACAACAACACACACTTATTGAGCCCTGACCCCACAACAACAGCAAAAATATCCATATTGTTTAATATAAAACACATATTGCACCTTCCCGCATATAAACCAAACAAGTAAACAAACCAACAAATCAAACCAGAGTATCAACAACATAACCGTAATATACGCCTTCAATTACCACAGCCTTCAATAAATGTGCTTACCAGATTGGATGATGAGTATCACATATTTTATGTTAAATTAAGGGGGGCGATCCATACGAAAATTCCTACTTTTCAATTAAACAGGAATGTTTAGCGACACTAGCGGGGAGCGAGAAGCGGGAGGAGATGGAGCGGGCCTGCAGTGCGTCACTCTGAACGGGGCAGAAGCGACGGGACGAATCACGATCAATCAGTACTGCATATTCATTAGGCTACAATCCAGTCAAGTCCCGTAAACACAACGGAGCGTCTAGCTGGCATCAAAAATTGAAGAGGACTAAACATTAATTCTTACCGTTTAAACATCGCCTCCATGTCTTTAATTTGCTTGCGGGAGAACTCTTTAAACTCAGTGTAAGGGTTAAAAACACGAGTCGCCCGAGAAGGAGCATTTCCGTCGTTAATGTCCAGCCTGCGGTTCAGTTTCGTCGCCAGCTCGGACGGCGTATCTCCACAGCCCTGTTCGGGTTCCTGGGATTGGACCGGGACCGGAACCGGACTCTGTTCGGTCTCGGGCCTCTGCTCGGCCTCTTCCGCAGCAGCCAGTCGCGACTGCAACTTCTTTGCAAGCTCTTCAGACGCCATGCTGTAGGTTCAACGTCTCTCACGAAAACAGTCAATTAAAATGGAGTCAGACAGTTCAGCCAGTTTTCAGCCCTGGACTGTACGTACTGCTTCCTGTAGGACTTCACAATAAGAGGCTCGTGATGTCTTGTAATCTATTTTTACTTACACGTCTTTAAATATTTCTCATAAACTTTCCATTTCGCAACTCCAAAGAGCCTACATAACCTATTTTACATGTAATAAGCATGTGTTCATTACACGAAGAACTACAACTACAATACCCTGAAAGTACTGGAGCTGTGAGTAATCCTAACCCATCCCACTCACCCCCAAGTAATTCAGGTTTGAGAATTTTCACTCTCGAAGTACACGGGCTGTGGGTGTCAGGACTTTTTTGTGCTTTTTTCCTTTTTTTAGTGGTGGAACTTTGAGGCTCACAAAGAAAAGTTGGTCTGAAATAAAATAAAATAATAATTGCCAATAATAATTTACATATATATAAAAAATAAAAAAATAAAAATTCCCCTCTCACCCTCCGTGGGTGGTCTCTTTCATCCTC